CACATTCCCAATTAAAAGGACAAGGCCCCCTTGGTCTCTACTGCAGGCTCACTGAGGATGTCAGAGCAGTAAGTATCAGTGCAGGCCACCTACTGCTGCTCTTCCCATGTGGCCTACATCTGAATGGTTGCAGATTCCAAATGGAAAGCAGGCACAAGCCGTCTGGGCTCACCATCATTTCACCACTACCCTCTCTCTCTCTCTCCTGCCTGAGCTCCCTAAGGGATGGAGATGCTGAGGCCATTTGCTAGAATTCACGCAAGCGTCTTCCCAATTTCGAAACTCTCAGATTAAAAAGGACTTCCCACTTTCCCACAGGGCAGGGATATCTGTTGGGCCCTCTTCTGTGCTCCACAACCCATATACTTCTATGCTCCAGCTTCTAAGATTTGTTCGTCATAAGTAAACTAGAACTTCTTTTTTCCCAAAAAACCTGACTTTTACACTATTTTGTAAGCTTAAGGTAGTCTAATTTGATAAGAGTCTTATAAGATAGGATCCACCCTCCCCTGAAGCAGCAAATGCAGTTGCTTCATTTAATGGAGGAACCCAAGGGCCACCAGTACCTAAGAATTGCCAGGAATGAAGCTTTAATTTCTCAGATTGGCTTTAATTTCTTAGATACTTCCCTGTTTCTGTCAGCCACCATTTCCTGTGTACTTGGTATGTGCTGAATACTGTAGTTATCACCTCATAGGTATCTCACTTAATCTCAGGATCTCCCAGTGATCTATGCAGTTACCTAACTTTACTGAGAAGCAAGTGAACTTGCACAAGGCCAGTGGCTAAGTCATGGTGACAACAGGATTCCACCCCATGCCTGTGTTTCCCTAGTGCTCACAAGTTTCACCTCTGGGCTGTATAGCTTCAGGTTCCCTATGCTGGTGGCAGCACAGCAACCAATGAGGTGGACAGGCCTTGTCACTGCACTGGCTAGCCAACTGAGCCATTGCTCTCAATTTCTATTTCTATTTCTAATACTATGTACTTGGTTCTTTTTCCTTCCTCTCTTCTCCTACTTGCTTCTTCATAAACTCTCTGTGCCTATGCTCAAGGCCTACTAGGAGCAAATCCTGCTTGCTACTCTGAGGCCAGAGAGAAGCTATAGACACCTGACACTGTTAAATGTGATGAGGTGACTGTTGCTTTGTCTAGAAAGTTCTACTGGAACTGTATCTGAGGATGGAAATGTTCTCTGCTGTCCACTGCAAGAGCCACATGGAGCTACTGAGCATTTGAAATGTGGCTAGTGTAACTGAAGGACCAAATTTGTAATTTCATTTTAATTAAAATTAACTTACATACCAGTAGTCACAAGTGGCTTGTGAATAACATATTAGATGGTGTGGGTCTGGTAGTCAGAGTTTTGGAGTTCTTTGAAGCACCTGCCTGGTAACAGTCTCTAAGCAAAGCTGGCTGTGGAATTCCTGGCACAGAAGTGTGTCTCCCTCTGCTTTCCTGTCTCTAATATGGAAAGAGATGATCTGTACATGTTGGTCATTTTTTTTTTTCCCCTGCCTCTAACATACCGCACCTGTGACCCAGGATGTTCAGCACTAAAAGCAAGAGCGTGCTTTGAGTCCTGGACTATATGAAAGAGTAGTAGCTTTGCAGTCAAGATGACTGGACCTTCTGGCAATGGCTTTTCTTGGTGGGCCTCAGTGCCCTCAACTTTAAAATGGATGTGACAGAGAGAATGATATAAAACCCCAATGGCAGCTGACTTCCTAGCTTCCCAGTAACCCGAAGATGGTTCTGGATGGGGTCATTTTTTAGCATGTCAAATTTTTCCGGCAGGGCAGCTCTGGATGTGTGTAACTATTCTATCTGCAGGAAGAAGTGCTCCGGAAGAGTTTCCAGGACCTGGCCACTGAAGTCGCTCCCTTGTACAAGCAGCTGGCCCCTCAGGCTTATCAGAACCAGGTACTGGGGCCTGGGTCTTTCTCTGCCAATATGCCGATCTCCACTCAGACTCCCCAAAGTTGGGAAGTGGAAGAGTGGGCTCCTTTGTGCTCTTCCATAAAGAGCCATCCCAGAAGTGAAGGGATGATATAGTTCTTTGACGAGACCCCTTTTTTAATACCAAGTTTAACTTCATCTCCCACCATCTTTCCAAAACCCCTGTTCTTCATAGCCTCCCCCAGTAGTCTTCTACCAGCTCTGATCTGGTTTCCAATGTGGAGGCCAGAGCTTCTCCCATACCAAGCATCTCCAGCTAAGACAAGGGCACAAGATAACCCAAGAGAGACCTACAGGGCCTGAAAGGAACTGTTTTGGAGCTGGAGTCTCTGAACCAGAAAAACCTCTTCTCTGTTAGCCCAAATTCAAGGCAGCTGAGATCCTTAACAGTCCTCATCTCAGTTACCATGAGCAGCTCTTCTTGGCCATTCACACAGGTGACCAATGAGGAAATCGCAATTGACTGCCGCCTAGGGCTGAAGGAAGGACGGCCCTTCTCCGGGGTCACAGCCTGTATGGACTTCTGTGCCCACGCCCACAAGGACCAGCATAACCTCTACAATGGGTGCACTGTGGTAAGGAAGTTTGTGTTGGGTCCCAGCCCCACCTGCAGTGATCCTGGGAGGGAGCCCAACTGGTCTGTGGAGAAAGTGGGTGCAGAGTAGGGAGGGACATGGAGACTGGATTCTCAGAACTCTGGCAGGTGCCTTGCCAAACCACCTGCTCCTACCCCTTATCAGAGAAAACCCTCGCGGGAATGAATGGACAGGGCTAAGCTGGACTCTGTGTCTTAGGTGGATACAGCCACTTGGGTGCCTGCAGTCCCTGGTTGCATAAGATGTGGTTCCAGAAGTCCTTGATGCATTCATTAAGCAAATGTTTATTCAGTACCAGCCTTGCCACAGTCCCTGTCTAAATGCTAGGGAATAAAATGAACAAAGCCTTTAACCAAGTAGGTGAATGTTGTTCAGTAGTGCTTGAAGGCCACAAGGGAGAAATGAAGTGTAGCTTAGGGCATAAAATGATAGGAGATGCTTGAGCAACTGGGGTGTGTTGGTGTCACTTATTGAACAGAATATAGGGAAGGACCAGGTTTGGGAATGGAAAATTAAGAATTCAGTTTTGAGATATTTGTTAAGTATGCAGATGAGATGGGGAGGGGAAGAGTTTGGACAGCATGGAGCTCACAAAGCCCAGATGGATTTCCTGGGCAGTGAGTGTGGATGGAGAAGAGAAGAAATTTGCAGTGTTCTGTTTTTTAGGTAGATCCTGTGCAGGGAGGGCTTTTAAGGGGTCTGTGGAAGAGGCAAGGGGGCTCCTAGATTCTGGTTGTGAGTCTTGGCTCCGTGGGGATTGATGGCTCCCTACCAGAATTTCATATCTCAATCTTCTGTTTCCATGTCCAAGACAAGAAGCAAGATGGAGCAGGCTCTGTCTACACCCTAGTGTAAGGGTATCTAAGTGAAATTCATAGAAAGGCTCTAGGGTTGGAAGAGAGGCAGAGGAGGGGCACTGGGAAATACAGAGCAAGAGCACAGTGAGATTGCTTGGATCTCAGAGCTTCTAGAGCTTGGGGTGAACAAAAGTAATATTTTTTCCAAGGTGAGAAATACTGTCTTTTCAAGGTAAATAATAAGCATTATTGAAAGCAAAACTTTAATATAAAAGATTGGCCTGAAATCTTGTGGAGATAATCATTTAACATTTGATGACCATCCATTTAGATAGTTCTCTGTGTGTACACGACTATGCACAGCAATATAAAATTTTACGCCATTGGAATTCCATCATACGTACATACTGTTCTATGATGTGCTTTGCTTTTTTTTTTATATGTTCTATCATTGTTGTACTGGATGTACATTGTGACATTTACAAAAGTGCTTACAGCATATCTTAGTTAAATTCATCCCCCCCATTCTTAAGTCTCATTTTTCCATTTTCATACATGAGTACATAATTTCACCATATTCATCCTCCTGTACCTTTTCCTTATATCCTTCCCCATCCCTCCGTCCCAACCTCCAGACAGAAGTGGTTTTATCTTCTTGTCTTCCATTTTTGAAAAAAGAGACATTTTTGGTTTTTTAAGATAGCTATATGATACGCTTTTATTTATTTATTTTTTATTTTTTTGATATGCTTTTCTTTACTCAAGGATAATTCAAGCTATGTTCAATGGATATGGATTTGCTTTCACATTTGCCAATGCCGTATGTATGACTGTGCCATCACGTATTTAACCTGTCCCCCATGGATGGACAGTCAGTGCTTTCACATGTCTCCTGTCTTTACCACAGCTCAATGTAGAGGTGCATTTGTCTCCTGGAGGTCACAGGGTGGAGACAGTTACATACGCAGGTGTAGAGTGCCTGTTCTGTTTCCTAGCAACACTGGGTTGTGTCACTCTTTCTAGTCTTTGCTTGTCTCAGTAGCAAATGTATAATCTCATATTAATTTCTTTTTCATGCTGCAGAGATCAAACATCTTTTCCTGTTTTTCTTGTCTGTTTTAATTTCATCTTGTGATACCCCATTTATGTCCTTGGCTGCTTGTTTTTTTTTGTTTGTTTGTTTTATTATTCATATGTGCATACAAGCTTGGGTCATTTCTCCCCGCTGCCCCCACCCCCTCCCTTACCACCCACTCCGCCCCCTCCCTGTCCCCCACCACCACCTCAATACCCAGCAGAAACTATTTTGCCCTTATTTCTAATTTTGTTGAAGAGAGAGTATAAGCAATAATAGGAAGGAACAAGGGTTTTTGCTGGTTGAGATAAGGATAGCTATACAGGGCATTGACTCACATTGATTTCCTGTGCGTGTGTGTTACCTTCTAGGTTAATTCTTTTTGATCTAACCTTTTCTCTAGTTCCTGGTCCCCTTTTCCTATTGGCCTCAGTTGCTTTTAAGGTATCTGCTTTAGTTTCTCTGCGTTAAGGGCAACAAATGCTAACTAATTTTTTAGGTGTCTTACCTATCCTCACCCCTCCTTGTGTGCTCTCGCTTTTATCATGTGCTCAAAGTCCAATCCCCTTGTTGTGTTTTCCCTTGATCTAATGTCCACATATGAGGGAGAACATACGATTTTTGGTCTTTTTGGGCCAGGCTAACCTCACTCAGAATGATGTTCTCCAGTTCCATCCATTTACCAGCAATGATAACATTTCGTTCTTCTTCATGGCTGCATAAAATTCCATTGTGTATAGATACCACATTTTCTTAATCCATTCGTCAGTGGTGGGGCATCTTGGCTGTTTCCATAACTTGGCTATTGTGAATAGTGCTGCAATAAACATGGTGTGCAGGTGCCTCTGGAGTAACCTGTGTCACAGTCTTTTGGGTATATCCCCAAGAGTGGTATTGCTGGATCAAATGGTAGATCAATGTTTAGCTTTTTAAGTAGCCTCCAAATTTTTTTCCAGAGTGTTGTACTAGTTTACATTCCACCAACAGTGTAAGAGGGTTCCTTTTTCCCCATCCTCGCCAACACCTGTTGTTGGTGTTGCTAATGATGGCTATTCTAACAGGGGTGAGGTGGAATCTTAGTGTGGTTTTAATTTGCATTTCCTTATTGCTAGAGATGGTGAGCATTTTTTTCATGTGTTTTGGCCATTTGAATTTCTTCTTTTGAGAAAAGTTCTGTTTAGTTTTCACCGTTGCCGTTCCTTTTTTTTTTTTTCATTTTCTTTTATTATTCATATAGCATATAAGGCTTTGGTTCATTTCTCCCCCTGCCCCACCCCTTCACCTACCAACCCACTCCGCCCCTCCCTGTCCCCCCCCCAATACCCAAGCAGAAACATTTTGCCTTATTCTAATTTGTTGAGAGAGAGTAATAAGCATAATAGGAAGGAACAAGGATTTTTTGCTGGTTGACATAAGGATAGCTAATACAGGGCATTGACTCACAATTGAATTTCTTCTTTTGAGAAAATTTCTGTTTAAGTTCAACTGTTGCCCATTTATTTGCTTCTTTATTGGTTCATTAGTTTTGGGAGAATTTAGTTTTTTAAGTTCCCTATATATTCTGGTTATGAGTCCTTTGTCTGATGTGTAGTTGGCAATATTTTCTCCACTGTGTGGATGTTCTCTTCAGTTTAGAGACCTCTTCTTTTAGTTTTCTGAAGTCCCATTTATCTATGCTATCTCTTAGTTGCTGTTCTGCTGGGGTTTCGTTGAGAAAGTTCTTACCTATACCTACTAACTCCAGAGTATTTCCTACTCTTTCTGTATCAACTTTAGAGTTTGTGGTCTGATATTAAGATCCTTGATCCATTTTGAGTTAATATTGGTATAGGGTGATATACATGGATCTAGTTTCAGTTTTTTGCAGACTGCTAACCAGTTTTCCCGGGCAGTTTTTGTTGAAGAGACTGCTATTTCTCCATCGTATATTTTTAGCTCCTTTGTCAAAGACAAGTTGGTTATAGTTGTGTGGCTTCATATCTGGGTCCTCTATTCTGTTCCACTGGTCTTCATGTCTGTTTTTGTGCCAGTACCATGCTGTTTTTATTGTTATTGCTTTGTAATATAGTTTGAAGTCAGGTATCGTGATACCTCCAGCATTGTTCTTTTGACTGAGTATTGCCTTGGCTATTCGTGGCCTCTTGTGTTTCCATATAAATTTCACGGTAGATTTTTCAATCTCTTTAATGAATGTCATTGGAATTTTGATGGGAATTGCATTAAACATGTAGATTACTTTTGGGAGTATCGACATTTTTACTATGTTGATTCTACCAATCCATGAGCATGGGAGATCTCTCCACTTTCTATAGTCTTCCTCAATCTCTTTCTTCAGAAGTTATAGTTTTCCTTGTAGAGGTCTTTCACATCTTTTGTTAGGTTTACACCTAGGTATTTGATTTTTTTGAGGCTATTGTAAATGGAATTGTTTTCATACATTCTTTTTCATTGTTTGTCATACATTCTTTTTCAGTTTGCTCATTGTTAGTGTATAGAAATGCTAATGATTTTCCTATGTTGATTTTATATCCTGCTACCTTGCTGTAGCTATTGATGATGTCTACAAGCTTCTGAGTAGAGTTTTTTGGGTCTTTAAGGTATAGGATCATGTCATCTGCAAATAGGGCTATTTTGACAGTTTCTTTACCTATTTGTATTCCTTTTATTCCTTCTTGCCTAATTGCTCTGGCTAGGAATTCCAGTACTATGTTGAATAGGAGTGGAGATAGTGGGCATCCTTGTCTGGTTCCTGATTTTAGAGGGAATGGTTTCAGTTTTTTTCTGTTAAGTATAATGCTGGCTGTAGGTTTGTCATATATAGCTTTTATAATGTTGAGGTACTTTCCTTCTATTCCTAGTTTTCTTAGTGCTTTTATCTTGAAATGGTGTTGGATCTTATCAAAGGCTTTTTCTACATCTATTGAGATGATCAAGTGGTTTTTGTCTTTGCTTCTGTTAATGTGGTTTATTACATTTGATTTTCATATGTTGAACCACTGCTGCATCCCTGGGATGAAGCCTACTTGGTTGTGGTTAATAATCTTTTTGATGTGTTGTTGAAATCGGTTTGCCATTATTTTGTTGAGGATTTTTGCATCAATGTTCAT